CTTTGCTGCCCTTCTCGGCACCCTTCGCGCCCTTGTCGCCCTTGGGCCTCGGCGCGTTGGGGTCCCTGCGGGGCATGGGCGGGGCGCGGAGGCCCGCGGAGCAGGGAGGTGCGTGGAGGAGGAGGAGGGCGCGGAGGAGACAGAGGGGAAGAGGGCAAGGAGGAGAAGGGGGAGGAGGAGGAGGATGGGAGGGGGAGAGGAGGGAGGGGAGGGTGGGAGAGGGAGAGGAGGAGAGGAGGAGGATGAGGAGGAGGAGGAAGGAGGAGGAGGAAGGGAGAGGAGGAGAGGAGAGGGGGAGGAGGAAGGAGGAGGACGACGTGGGACGAGGAGGGGGAGGAGGAGGAGAAAGAGGAGGAGGACGAGGAGGGAGGACTCTAGGATTCTCGGTTGGCGTCGGGCGCGCCCCTAAAAAAGGCGCACGGTCCGGTCCAGCCAGAGAGAAAAGCGGCAGCCACAGACGCGACGGCGACGACGACCAGCGACGACGCGGGCGAGGACGACTGACGAACGAGCGCAGCGACGACGGACGACGACGGCGCTGGCGGCAGCGGCCACACGAGCAAGCCGACTACAGCGGCTACCTGACAGGGGCTCGCTCAGCAAAACTAAACAGTTACCAGCCTGGAACATATCCCTATCCCTAAGCTGGGCATCGCCTCCTCGCGATGCCAATCTTAGGGGTTCCCTTATTTTTCAGGGCGCATCCCTGAGATTGTCATCGCCTTTTGGCGTGTCAATCGTAGGGATAGGGGTAAGTTCGAGACTGGTGAAACAGGCACGCCAGTAAGCCTCATATGTTTGGCGGTTTGCAAGGCGTAGCTCGGGATCAGAACTGGCGGTGGGCGCGGAACCGCACCCGCATGCCAACGGTCGCCCGAGGCGCGGAGGTCAGTTTCGTCCGTCTTGCGGTGAGCTCTGCGCACGCCCTTCTCGCCCTTGGCGCGAACCTCCCCGACACCAGCAGGATGCAGTTTCTTGAGCTCGGGGGCTACGCGGACCACGAAGAGAAACCTCACCAACAAAAGGAAGTGCGGGAGCATGCGGGGAGAAGCACACGGACCTCGATCCGCCTTTTGCCGCCCGAGCAGGACTAGCGGCATGCAACAGCGCACGCAACTCGGTGAACTCGCGCTTGAGGCACCCGACCTCCGTTCGAAGTTGATGTGTATCATCTACTTGCACGTGTGATGGCGACCGCCTGGCACAGCGACGCGAACCACTCTATGTGTCGCGCCGCGCTGCGAAAGCGCTGTCCGCGCATCCTCCCAGCAGTTCCAAAACTGATCGCGGGGACGCCGACCATGCAGCCAGCGTCAGAGAGGTGCGAAGGCACCTATGGAACGCGCCCACCTTGGTCGCCGAATGACTGAATAACTTGACGCCGAGCGCTGGCCCAGAAAAGGCAACTTGGACAAGAGGACAAGGAGGAGGAGGAGGAGAAGGAACAGAAGGAGGAGGAAGAGGAGGAAAGGAAGAAGAGAAGGAGGAGGAGAAGGAGGAGGAGGACGAGGAGGAAAGGAAGAGGAGAAGGAGGAGGAGAAGGAGGAGGACGAGGAGGAGGAAGACGAGGCGAGGGATGAGTGTCTTCTCTCCCGCAGCAGGCGCGCGCGAACACCAACGAGTTCCCCCGCCAATTGGCGCGCATGCCGCCAGGCGGGGCACGCGCCCCAGCGGGGGAACGAGGTGCAGCAAGAGAGAGCAGGACCTGCGAGAGAGGCAAGAGGGCCGGCAGGTAGGACGGCAGGGTTCTCGTTTGGACGGTGCCTTGCTCCCCTAACGCGCACGCGACAGAGAGCGCGGTTCCGCCGGGCCTCCGCGAGAACCGCCGAGACGTCCCGCAGCCAGACGGAGGGCCCAAACAAACCACCACTGCCACCACCCGCCGCAGAGGCACGGCGGAGCAGCACCTGAGGGGACACGCAGGGGAGGAGACACGCAACAACACCAGCGGAAGACGCAGCAGCAGGGGAACACTGGGAAACGCGACGGGGGGGGAACCCTAGGAGAAAAACAAGACCCGACAGTATGCCACACTGCCTCTAGTCCGTGGGCCTCGTACGTTAGCGAGAGCACGCCTCAGGCAGCGGCCGCCAAACAGAAATCTTCCCGGCGCGGAGCTCACCCAAGAATTCTGCATAGATGCGATGATCACCGAAAAGCATCCGATCACAGTAAGCACCCCTCGGGCACGCCGCGTTCATCACTTGGGAAAGCTTATTGACTCTATTCCTGTTCCAACAAGAGCGTTGCTTCACTTGGGCCAGATCTGCGCCGGGCACGCCCGCGCGCGTGGCGAATTCGGTATTGCCCACAGGCGGAAAATCGCCCTGCTGACCTGGAAACTAGAATGAACCCTTTAGCGGTGACGGATTTGATGTTGAAGTCAACAAGGGTTCTGGCGTCAGAACTCCCCACTCGCGCGCGAGGAGTTCTGCATTGTCCATGATGGAGAAAAAAAGCCACGCTGGCTTGCGAACGCAATGAACTCTCAGCGGTGACCGACAGGGTTTTGGGTGACCCGCGCGGCGGGTGAGTCACCCGCCGCGCGCACGTGGCGAATTGTCATATCCAAAAATGGAAAGTTGTCATGTTGGCCTGGAAACTGTTAGTGAAGCCTGAGCGGTGACCGATTGTTTTTTGAAGCTAGCATGCGTGATTTCACATGCCCCCGTATATTTATAAGAAGAAACAACAACAACAACAACAACAACAACAACAACAACAACAACAACAACAACAACGACAACAACAACAACAACAACAACAACAACAACAACAACAACTGCAGCAACTGCAGCAACAACAACAACAACAACAACAACTGCAGCAACAGCAACAGCAACAGTAACAACAACAAGGTACAGGCCGGCATGGTCCCCCCGGGGTCCGGGGCTTCACTGCCCGCGTCCGCCACAGTGGAGGAGGCCGGTCCCGCCCCCCCGGTGGGTCGGAGGGGGGGGGGGGGAACAACACAACACAACACAACGAATTCTGTATGAATTCTGTATGAATCCTACACGCTCCCTACGGATTCCCATCGGAATCCGTTCGGGACCCTCTAGGAATCTTTGGATCCCTCCCGGGACTCTATAGAATCCCTGTGGATCCCTCCAGGGACTCTATAGAATCCCTGTGGATCCCTCCAGGGACTCTATGGAATCCCTGTGGGTCCCTCCAGGGACTCTATAGAATCCCTGTGGATCCCCCCAGGGACTCTATAGAATCCCTGTGGATCCGTCCAGGGACTCTATAGGCTCCCTGTGGATCCCTCCAGGGACTCTTATAGAATCCCTGTGGATCCCCCCAGGGACTCTATAGAATCCCTGTGGATCCCTCCAGGGACTCTATAGAATCCCTGTGGATCCCTCCAGGGACTCTATAGAATCCCTGTGGATCCCTCCAGGGACTCTATAGAATCCCTGTGGATCCCCCCAGGGACTCTATAGAATCCCTGTGGATCCCTCCAGGGACTAATAGAATCCTGGGGACCCTCCAGGGACTCTATAGAATCCCTGTGATCCCTCAGGGACACTAATAGACCTCCCTCCAGGGACTCTATAGAATCCCTGTGGATCCCTCCAGGGACTCTATAGAATCCCAGTGGATCCCTCCAGGGACTCTATAGAATCCCTGTGGATCCCTCCAGGGACTCTATAGAATCCCTGTGGATCCCTCCAGGGACTCTATAGACTCCGCTTTGGATCCTCCAGGGAAACTCTAGAATCCCTGTGGCACCCTCCAGGGACTCTAAAGAATCCCGTGATACCCTCCAGTGACTCTATAGCAATCCCTGTGGAAATCCCTCAGGGATTTCTATAGAATCCCTGTGGATCCCCCCAGGGACTCTATAGAATCCCTGTGGGTCCCTCCAGGGACTCTATAGAATCCCTGTGGATCCCTCCAGGGATTCTATAGAATCCCTGTGGATCCCTCCAGGGACTCTATAGAATCCCTGTGGATCCCTCCAGGGACTCTGTAGAATCCCTGTGGATCCCGTGAGGGGTGCGCCGACATGGACCCGATGCCTTCGGTTGCGCCCAAAGTGGGGCCACGAACCGTGTGAGGGGTACGCCGAAATGGCCCGAAGCCTTCGGGTGCGCCCCTATGTGGGGCCGCGAAAGCCTTCGGCTGCGCCCCCTGTGGGGCCACGAACCGTTTGAGGGGCGCGCCGAAATGGACCCGAAGCCTGCTGCGCCCCCTGTGGGGCCACGAACCGTGTGAGGGGTGTCCCGAAATTGATCCGAAGTCTTCGGCTGCGCCCCGTGTGTTGCAACGAACCGTGTAAGGGGTGCGCCGAAAATGGCCCCGAAGCCTTCGGCTGCGCCCCCTGTGGGGCCACGGGCCGTGTGAGGGGTGCGCCGACATGGACCCGAAGCCTTCGGGTGCGCCCCATGTGGGGCCGCGAAAGCCTTCGGTTGCGCCCCTTGTAGGGCCACGAACCGTGTGAGTGGTGCGCCGAAATGGCCCGAAGCCTTCGGGTGCGCCCCTATGTGGGGCCGCGAAAGCCTTCGGCTGCGCCCCCTGTGGGGCCACGAACCGTTTGAGGGGCGCGCCGAAATGGACCCGAAGCCTGCTGCGCCCCCTGTGGGGCCACGAACCGTGTGAGGGGTGCGCCGAAATGGACCCGAAACCTTCGGCTGCGCCCCGTGTGGGGCCACGAACCGTATGAGGGGTGCGCCGAAATGGGCCCGAAGCCTTCGGGTGCGCCCGATGTGGGGCCGCGAAAGCTTTCGGCTGCGCACCTTGTAGGGCCACGAACCGTGTGAGAGGTGCGCCGAAATGGTCCCGAAGCCTTCGGCTGCGCCCCCTGTGGGGCAACGCACCGTGTGAGGGGTGCACCGAAATTGGCCCGAAACCTTCGGGTGCGCTCCATGTGGGGCCACGAACCGTGTGAGGGGCGCTCCGAAATGGGCCCGAAACCTTCGGCTGCGCCCACATGTGGGGCCACGAACCGTGTGAAGGGTGCGCCGAAATGGACCCGAAGAAATGGGTCCCGAATCCTTCGGGTGCGCCCGTAAAATGTGGTGCCGCGAAAGCCTTCGGCTGCGCCCTGTGGGGCCACGAA